GCTCAGCTTGAGAAACATGGGGAAACTGTTTAGAATTGCTATTTCTTGTTTAGAGTGATCCTCTAATGGAATCGCTTTTCTGTATGTACAAACCCTGGAAAAATGGTGCCTGTGAGTAGGAGGCCTTGACTGGAGACAGCCTGCTTTGAGATTAATGTTTTTATCTGTGGCCTTTTAATACCTCCTATAGATGGGATGATAGCTTAGGAGTAATCTCTCTGATGGGAGGCAGGAAGTCCTGCTGTTTGGAAGGTATGATATGATACCTTTAGTGTCTGCCTTCAGTGTTCATTGGGGATAATCCTACCTTGGGGTAAGGGATGGCCTTAAATTTGATGAAGCTTAGGTAAGTGCCAACTGATTTAGGTATCTAATCTGTAATGAGTAAAACTATTAGTCTGAGTCACCTAAGTACACAAGGAGATGTATTTTGAACTTTATGTACTATTAGATAGTCAGGACAGTGGACATTACATTATCTACTGGCAATGATGTTGCCATGGGCTCATACTCATAGGGATCTCTGGATCCATTGTTTTTTGTTGTGGATGGGAGGGAGGTGGTCGTTCCAAGAACTACTGTAAGATGCTAAAACTGATTACATTACGATTTTTTTTAATTTTTAACAAACTGTTAGGTTGTTAAAATGGAACTTGAGGTTTTCTATGGAACACCTAATATTTGTCTTAAAATCACCAGGTTTCATTTTGGTCTGTAATTGCCTAGAGTTCACCTGGCTGCAATGTCTGCTGAAAATGGTTGGTATTTCAAGGCCATTGTGTGGGCTCTGAGTATCAATGTGTGTGTAGGTTGTGTTAAGAGTCAACATCCCTTATTTGGGGGGAAAAAAGATCCATTGGGGCCCATTTCTATTAAAGCCAGAGCAAACCCCATGTCTTTCACAGTCATCGTTGTCTTTCAGCTCCCACTTCAATTTTATTTCATGATGCTGTTGGCACTGCAGGGACAGTTTGCTCTTCCTCAACTGCACTTGGAAATTTTCTGTTTGCTGGGAGGTGCCCTTGGCAGTTTGCATTGGGGAGCAAACTGTGATTTCAGTTTAAATGAACACTGCTTCTCTTAAATAAGAACTTGTTTAAATAAAGTCAGGTTAAAAACCAACCAAGAGTCTTTATGGAAGAGCTTCCAGTTTAAACATGGCCTGGCAGGGATGTGCATGAGCTTGCCAGCATTTCAGAGGTGACCTTTTACAGCAGCGTCCCTGTCTCCTTGTGGAAGGTGCTCAGCAGAGAGCAGGTTCTCAGTTTCCCTTAAATATTGCCGGATTTTGAAGAGAGAGTGAGAAAAGTGGCCAATCTTGTGTTGATAAAAAGTGAATGCAGATTTTTTCAGAAACCTGTTTGTTTCAGTGAAGAGTGTGTAGGAATAATTATATCTGGTGTGTTGGGAAAGACTTATAAAGATATTCAGGACAATAAGCAGCTGCTTATTCTGAATGCTGGAATGCTTTCTTCTGGCTACCTTGTGGGTCAGGTATAAGCTGCTGCTCAGCTCAGGCCACTGTCTGAAGGTGTGTCCCAGAGGAGTTGTGTGTCCACAGGTGACAAGCCTGGAATAGTAAATCTTCTCCCTGTGCTGGCACTGCTCTTGCTGCTTACTGCTCTGCATTGCAGGAGCCCAAACTGATATCCAAAATATGAGTTCCACCTGCCTCTTAGTTTTCCTGACCACTTTGGCATTTGTAATCCCCCCTTTACGCTCATGTTGCTATGAAGAAAAGCAAAACAGGCAGGAGACCATGATTATGTGCTTGAGAAGCAATTAACTGGTGTTGGAAATGCTGCCAAAACATGGAAAGCTAAGGGAAATAATGAATCTGGGGAAAAAAATATTTTCTGTTTCTTATATTGTGTGTATTATTGATAGATGGAAAATTATTTCAGATAAAGCTGTGAATTTTGTTAGCCCTTCCAAAACCACTAATTTTTTTTAAAGCTTCCCTGTGAGTATTATGGCCAACCTCGTTTCACAGCTAGATGTATTCATCTCAGTTAAATGCAATGGACAAAATCTACAAAACCCAACTGCTTAATATTATAAGCAGCTTGCATAAACATGAATTATTAAGGTCACAAAAGCTCCTAGAAACCAGCTGAAATGAGTGCACTGTTGCATTTATTTTTTCAAAACATGCATTAATTAATAAGGGGCTTAGTGCCCAGACTGTTTCTTCCCCCCTCCCTGCCTCCATCAGATTTTGCTTTCATCAAGTGGAGGGGAAAGTGTCACTTCTCTCTCTTCCTTCTCCCTTTTGTTTGGCTGGAGCACAGGAAGGTGCCAGACTTCATCCTTCACAAGCCAATCGTTCACAGCTGTGATACCCTAAAATGATCAGGTGGGTTGTGCTTGGGCTATTACAGCAGCAGCACTCCCTCCAGAACAGCCAGGGGTTTCATTTCGTGCCTTCTTGGACTGCCAGAACAGTCAACACATGGTGGCCATGGAGGCATTGGAGCTGTAGGAATGTTTGATGGGAGCTCCTCTCCAGCTCTTTCCAGCACAGGAAGTAATTTCAGCAGCTTGAGTGAAAAATGTGACTGCATGTGCAGAGTCAAAGCACATGTGATACTTGCAGCAAGGAGCTGAAGAAGTTTAAAAAAAGCAGGAATAGAGTGATATTAATTTAAAAATTAATTAATTCAGTTGATGTGCTGGCTGTAGAGGAGGCAAGTCAGATCAACTGCATGGAGGGAAGAGGCTGCAGTGACCAAAGGGATTTGAAGAGAACCTCAGTGGTGGGTGCTGGTGGTGTGGGTGAGGGGGAAGGCTGAACCTTGTGGAGCTTGTGCAGGAAGAAGCAGCTCAGATGAGACAGCCTACTCGTGGGACTCTGCTTAGGAGAGGGCTGCCTTCAGAGACGGTCCTAAAATGTCAAAAATACTACAAGTGAATATTGCAAGTGAGCTTGTGTGTATCAGGTGGTTGAGCCTTAGTATCCTGGAGATAGCAAATGGCTTGAGACTTCCTTACCTGGTTTGTGCTGCAAGTGAACCCCTAAGACAGACACCTCTCTGTTCTTGTCAGAGTCAGCGTGGAGGAGGTGGGGACAAAGGCTGGTGGTTGGCATTTCTGCTGTCTTTGGTCCTGGCATCTGCAGGAGAAGCTCAGGTAGGCAGGGTTTGGATTATTGAACCCCAGAAAAACAAAATCTTTATTTTTGGCCTTGCTATGACTCCATCTTGCTTGGTGCCCTAATGAAATGCAGCACAAGTCCTAAGGCATCTAATTTAAAAATCTTCCCAGGTACCACACTAGTGCTCTGTCTGCGAGGAATCCAATTTCTGCAGCCACTAGAGAAACAGTTCAGGGAGACACAAATGTCAAAGCCATTGCTCAAATGCTTCTGCTCTGGGATGGGTACCCAGTTTTAACTTCCCAAACAGCAAAGAGACTTTTCAGGATGAGTTTGGGGGGAGGACCTGCCTCCACCATGCTGTGAGATGGGACACAAAGGCCTCAGTGCAGGCACTCACCCCAGAGAATAATGTTTATTGGGCCTACTTGGTTAAAAATGAAGAAAAATGTGCCATGCTGCATTCCATCATGGTTTTTGAAAATTAACCTCATCAGAGGCTGCTTTTTGATATATAATAAAAAAACTCAAAGCAACAAAGGAGCTTTAAAAGAAGCAAAGAGTTGACATATTTGTTAATACTCAGGGTAGCAATGCATTAATTTTAAGGCACACTCTTTTTTTTTAATAAATGAGGACACTAATTAAAATTAATCCATTTATAATCTTTCCATATCCAGTTTTAAAGCATAAATAAAACATTTGCCTTGTCTGTCCCTTTTCTCATCCTAAGACAATACAGACCACGTAATTTTTAACTCTTTATGGCAATGAGCAGACAAAACTACCTTAAGTGATTTGCTAAAAGATATAAAAATTTGTGGCACAGTGGAGATGGCTTTTAAAGTGCAGAAAGGATGTCAGTGGAAATGTTGGGAGTGCCTCAAAATAGGTTTTAATGCTTGCCTTTGGGATCTGCAAACCTGAGCAATTTCTTGCCCTGTCTGCCTCCCTGTCCTCCATTCCCACCCCTTTCTCAAAAATGAGCTGTTTGTTGGCTGCCTTCCTTGATGTGCATTTTTCAGTGTGATAATTTGCATTATAAAGTACACAGGGATGAATTTACTCCAGTTTTGCTCCCAAAGTCAGGCAGGATTTTAATGACTGAGGTTGGAAAAAGAGAGGTGGTGGGCCAATCCATGAATATGCCATATTTGATTAATTTATGTGATTTAAAATTTAAAAAAAAAAAATAAAAAAAGAGAAAGAAAATGCGGGACTTATGGCAAAGGGACTTTGAAGTTTAAGTTCAATGACATGAGAGACTGCAGCGTTGCCAATGCTGAAGGTATTTTTCTGTGCCTTGTTTAGAAAGGAAGCTAAACATGACCTTGGGCCTGTGATTGTTGGTAGCTCCTCAATGTATGCTAATTAGTAAAGACTCTGAGAAAAGTAGTACAGCTACTGAGGGAACTATACATTCTAATTTTTTAATGTGTTCCAGATATTATCAATTGTGCCTAAGATCTTCGGTGCAGTTGTGGCTGTGTGGAGGTTGCACATGTCTGTGTACCACAGTAAGGCACTTGCATTTAGAGTGCTGGCAAAACTGCTACCCACTCCCACCCAAAAAAATCCCAAACAACCAAAAACTCCCTATAGGTGATACTCTAAACTTTAACATGAGCTGTGTGTCTCTGCTTTGTCTCAGGCCATGCCAAAGTGAAGAGATAGCACGGAGCAGGTCTGTTGTGTGTGAGGATGCTCCCCTCTGCTTTCATATGCAGATTTTTAATAAAATAAGTATGCATCTCTGCTTCTTGTCATTCCCATCCCTGGGAAGTTTCATGTCCCTTGCTATCTTCTATCAGTTTTCTGCTCTTTGGTTTTGATGTCTCTTCTTTATAAATCTTCCAGCCTGAAATCTGCCCAGAACTGCCCCCACTCCTCCTTGGCAGGACTAAAGCTCAGCAGCTGCTGACAAAGTGAAGGTAAGAGGAGAAAAATCACAAATCCTCAGAGAAAAAAGCGCAAACCAAAGTTATGCTGCCTTGGGAAGGGGCAGCTTGCTCTGGTTCTCCTACAGACACAAGTGGGCAAAGAGTAGCTGCTTGGTGGATTAGCAGATGGAGAGTTTAGATCATTGTTTTCAGCAGTGTTTGCAGTCTAAATATTTATCCACAGTGCACAGGAGCCTTGTTTCACCTTTCCCAGAGAAGTTGTGCCCAGGTAGGAGGTTTGAGCCCCTCTTTCTCCCAAGGGTAATGGCATTTAGATTCGTGAGAGCAAGTTTGTGGCTCTTAAACAAAGTTGCTGAGACCTGCTGTTTTAAGCTGTGCTACTGGTAATCAGTCTCCTTTTGTGAAAGCATAAAGAGACAGATGTTGTAATTGCAGGAGTTAAGGCTCCACTGGGTGTTTGCTCCAGGTGTTCTTTCTCCATGGGTGCTGCCATGGGAGACAGGGGAGTTCAGGAGGACACGGCTGGACACTCACCCTCCTCGTTTCCAGAAAATGAGAGGATTTCTCCATACAGAAAGCAACTTCTGCATGGGGCCGTGGAGGGCTTTTTGTCCTGTATGCTCAGTTCTGGGTTTTAAAGTGCTCTGCAAAATGACTTCTTTGCTTTCAGCTACAGATTCAGAACTGCAAACCACCCACCGTACAGCTCTAATGCACAGATAATCTCCACAGCCAACAGCTTTAAGTAATCAAACAGAGATAATTTTACCTCTGTGACCCAACAAATAAACACCAGAATCAGGAAAAATCCTTTCGCCCACACAATCCTGCCCAGGCTGTCAAGGACAGAGCGAAGAGTTTCTTCAGAGCCAGCAGGGGTGTCAAGGTCGCCGGGTTTGTCCCATCCTGGATCGATGTGAGCTGGCAGTGCAGGGCTGGGGGTGCTCTCAGGAGGTCACGATGCTCTGTAACCTGATGAGACAATCTCTTGCTGCTGCAAAAGGCATTAAATGAGTAGAGCATACACTGGAAGTTGTGTTTGCCGTCCTGCTTTCACAGGAAAAATTGTGGCTTGGATAGGCTTTTGTTAATGACTTCAGCCTTTAACTTTCTGTTCTTTGGAAGAGCACACATTTCTCACAGCTATCAGGGGTTTAGCACCATTAGAAAACACAACTGTTACATATTGTAACATTGCATCTGCGGCTTCTTTCTCACTGACCATCACCGCCAGTGCTGAGAAAGAGAAGAACTGTAGCCCAGAAGTCGTATCACAAACCATTTTTTGCACTTTAAAAGTCTGTTTCTTTTTGCTTTTATTTCCTAGATCAGCTAATTGTGACTATTTTCTTAAAAATGAAGTCTCGGTGTTTTTTTGTGTTAGTAAATTCTAGTTGCTCTGAGCTTCTCTCATTTTCCCTGCCCTTTCCCCCTTTGTTCTAGTAAACTCATTTCCTTATTCCTGTTATTAAGGATACTTAGCATGTTGTCATTGGGAAACAGCACTCATTTCTTCTTGGAAAGAAGCTGCTTAATGTTTCATGTGTTGCAGTGAATAATTAAATAAAGAAAAAATATATTAGCCCACAAAACCAGTTGGCAGCTGAGAGAGAGAAAGCATTTGCAGTCTGCTGGGGAAAAGTGACACTCCTGGCCTGGTGTCTTGAAGCACAAGGGTAAGGTTTAAAAGTGAATAAGTCTGGCATGACATTAAAAGATCTGGATTTTTCGACTTTCCATGCACTTATAACATTAATCTTTAATTGTTGTACTCTTGAGCTACTGGCTGTGAGATCAGACCTGGAATTGGTGGGGGTAAGGAAAACCTGGCTGGTAAGTGGAATGAAATGTCAGGAGGGACCACGACCTTGTGAACTGTCAGGGATGGAAAGGCTGTCAGCACTCAGGCAGGCAGGGGGCCTGGCAGCCTGATAGTGTATGGCATGAGCAGTCTCCATGTAAATAAGAGCTTTTATTGCCCTTCGTAGTCCTTCTCACTGTTTCTGGGCTGTACAGTCATTGCCCCTTTTATTTTGATTTTATAATGCATCTTGAAACACAACTGTTGGGCTCTATGAAAGTGAGGTGAAAGACTGGCAGATGGGACTCCTGTGCTGGGAGATGGGAGAAGACTGACTGCCCCCAAACGATCTAAACGAACCACAGAATTTTTTCTTTACAAATGAAACCAGAACTGAGCTGTAATTTTGCAGTGACCTTTGCAGTTTTACAACATGAGATCAGACACTTGCAGTCCTCATGGCAGAGGGAGCCTTGTTCTAACAGTTACAAGGGATCTGTGCTGAGTGTCTTTTTCTTTACCTCCTCCCATCTAGCTTTTCCTCTCACTGCACCTATAATCTCAATGGATAACATGCTTTAGTAGGATTTGCTGTGACCAGAGACAGTAGTGTGGAGCAGGAGCTGCCTGTGCTATTGCACATCCCTTTGAATTTGGTTAGTGCTGCTCTCATCAGCTCAGGTAGGAGTCTTTGTGTTCTTTTTCCAGCCCTGTGCACTGAGATGTGGAGACTGGATCACATAATTTGTATCTGCATCATGCAATTGCCTTTTGCATTTTCTTTTCCATGTGTGATCTGCAGCTGTGGCTGTGGTGGGGACAGTGAGCAGGACTGCAGGGATGATGTGGATCTGGTGTGCTTGATGCTCACCAGAGTGACTGCTCCACAACCAGGGAGCATCTCGCAGCTCTCCAGCTTCACGTGCTCTGCCACTCTGCCAGTACGACTGGTCTGACCTCTGCTCAGGGTGAGACATTGGGTCCAATTCAATTTGCAGCAAAGTGGGGAGAGGCCTAGGGAGCTGTTGCAGCAACCCAGAGAGTCTCCAAAATGAGGAGAAAGGGGACTTTTCATTTCCAAAAGTACTATTAGAAATTCTTGTTGAGGGTTGGGCTGCGCCAGTGCTATTAACTCTTCTGCTGGCTTATCTAAGTACTGCTGAAATTGTGACCTTTTAGATCACATCTACCAATTCTTCTCTTTAAATTGGCAGACTCTGCACTAAAAGGCTCATACTTGGTAAGACAGATACAGAAAAGATGAGAAAAACTTTGAGAGGAAATGTCGTTTTTTAATTACAATCTCTTGCATCTCTTCTTGGGTAGCTCAACAGCTTGTGATGGGCTGTATGGCAGAAAGGATAGTGCCATTTTAAATGTGCTGCTTATTTCACTGCCTTAGACCTTTCCTGTAGACTTGATTCAACAAGGTAAATAACCACACATCTACTTTGAATTGCATGAATACTGCTACTGAAATTAGTGACACTCTTCCTGCAGTTCATTTAGGATGCATGGTTGCAGCTGACCCAATTCCTGCTGAAATAAATGGAAGAATTTCTCAGTATTCTATAAACTCAGGTCAGGTCCTAAATCTGTTTAACCCTTCGAGTGCCTGCACTGGTGTCTGCTTACCACAAAGACACGGTTTGGGAGTGGTACAAATGCTGGCATGCATTGCATTGACCCAAATTTTTCCCGTAAGGTGCACCAGAAGAGGAGCTCTCCTCAGCCCCAAACACTCTGCAGTTCATCTTCTGATGCTGCTCTGTGTCACTGTCTGATTCCTCCCCTGCCTTGGCCACTCTTGATTTTATTCAGCAGAATTTTCCCTGTGCACGAGTAATAAGCAGGAGTCACTGCACTTGAGAGTCAGCAGGAAGGCAATGGCAGCCAGACCTGGAAATCCAGTAACCCTGGTACTACTGACCTGAGGATTAAACCCTGCTCACTGAAACATGAGCCCAGGCTGCCAAATTGCCCGTGATAAGCTTTAAAGAACTGGGAATAAAACCATGCCTGCATCTATTTTCTTTGCAGCAACTTTTTAGCTGGAGGCTCATAACTGGCTGTAACAATGTGAATAGAGAGCCCTCGCAAGAGACCTGGCAGTGCTCAGCTGTGCTCCAGGATCCCATTCTTGGGGTTTTGTTTGTTTGTCGTCTGGATTAAGGGGATTAAAGACTTAACCTTTGTACAGCCTTTCAAATAATAACTTGTTTGTGCTCATACTGCATGTCAGGGAAGGGTTCCCCCCCTCCTCCACCGATTTCATGATACAAGTGAAGATCTGAGAGTGGCCAGGCTCATGTAAAGTCGTGTTTTGTGCTTCAGTCCCTCATAAATTCAGCTCACTGCTCTGCTCTCCCTTTTGTGGTGTTGCCAGGACCAGGGCAGGGTAGCTGCTTCGGACCCCTCTCCCAGGAACTGGGAGCTGTCATGTTATTTGGGGCTCACAGTCTGAGCCCCCAGATCCTTGTCCAGCTGCTGCACCTCTGGACTGTGTTTTTTATAATCAGAAATAAAATTCATGCTGCCAGATACATGTCAGTCTGTCACTGGCTGGCCGTGACCATTCCTTACCTCCTGCTCCAGAGAGGCTTTTAAAAAGAGGTTTCAGAGGTCTGTAGTTCACACTGCAGCCCTTTGAGTGAGTGGCAGTGTCTTTTTTGAGATCCTTTAGGGGTTTATGGGGGGATTATTCCATCAGTGACTAAAATTTTCAAAAACATCTAAGTGATTTAACAAATTTATTGGCATGTACTAAACAAGACTAAGGAAGACTCGAGACCTGTCTTTAGCTTGAACATTTTTCTTCTAGTCCCTGTGCACATTCCACATGTGATTAAGGGAAGAACCAAGGCCACCTTTGGGACCAGCTGGTCCCACCTGCAGGAATATAATCTGCAGGCATGGCCAGGACTTGCTTTCCTCAATATGGTGCAACACCTGCATGGTCTGAGAGATGCCCAACAGACAGTCAGGCAGACACAGAGATGCAGGTGGCCCTGGCTTTAAGATCTTGTTCTTGGAGCTGCTTCCTTGCAAATAGCACTAAACCAAGAAACACTGTTGATGGGGGTGAGAGTTTTGGGGACTGGATATTTTGGGCATGAGAGGTCATGAGGATGGGAGTCCTTGGGTTGAATGTGTGAGGAAAAGTCTTTCCTCTGGCAATTTGCTCCCTGGCAAGGAGGTTGACCTGCCTGGTTCCCTCATGGGTAAAAGCAGTTCAGTTTTGTGAGTGCTGCTTCTGCAGATGTGGCAGTGCCATAGGATTCCAGCAGATGCAACTGTCAGCATGGCACTCTGCAGACACTTGGTGGGGGGAAAAAAATCATTATTTTGGCTCTTCCTGTTCACAAGGGTCTGGATTTAACAAGGATGACACAACTTCATCACCTGGATCAGGTAACACCTTTACCATCCAGTGTCATCACATTCGGTAACTGTTGCCCCCTCCAACAAAATACAGCTCTTTTCTTGTTAGAACAGCCAATGTAAATAGTAATTTTAAAGCTACAATGCCTAGAAAAGCCATGGATCTACAACTCTGTATCCAAGGGTCTGTGCTGTCCAGCCATGCACAGGTCATGAGTGACCACTGCTTTCCCTCCAAAGACAGCACAATACTGTGTCAGCCTCTAACAAAGGTTGTCACCATCATGGACTTCAGGGAAATAGTTTTTGAAAGAACTGCCTGAATATTGCCTAAAAATGTACTTTAAAGAGAATCCTTAATTAAAGTGATGTAACAACAGCAGTATTTACTTTTCTACTCGACCCTGAAACAGATAAGTCACAGAGAGTTAACCATTTTCTGCGTTTTAGAGGGGATTTTATCTTGCAAGAAATTTGCCCTACCCTACTTAAATTTAGAAGATGTGAGTACCCTTGGGTCTTCTGCACAGCAGAGGGAATAGAGACTGAGCTTGAGCAATATATGTTAAATTTGCCAGCAGTTCTCCACTGCAATAAATACCTCTTGCAACATAACACTGAAATCAGTGGATTGCAAGCCTGTGCTTTCTGGAGTATAATATAGTTCATCCACTCCACCAAATGCCCATAAGGAAATTGTAAATGAAATCAAACCACAATATATGAGAGTGAACTTGCACAGACAGTTGATTTAGGACACAAGCACCTCATTCTGGCTCCCGACTGTACAATTTTCAGAAGCAATTCACAGCAAGTACGTAATAGTCAAACAAGTTGGGTTGGACATTAAGCTGTGTGGTGGGTAACATGAAGAAATAGATGGAAATGCGGTTACAAATCTGAAACTTTATCTTTGGAAACTCTGTGTAGCATTTCTGAGAGCTCCACTTGACCTAGAGCTGCTGGGTAGAGGCAGTAAAAGTGATGTAAAAGCAGTGAAAATGAATTAATTTGAAAAGTCTAAGTGAATATTAATAGGACCTGCTATATTCAACAATTTGCAAAGCGTGTCTGGCATTTATAGATGAACTGTGCTGTTTGTTACATATTACATTAAAGAAGACTCCTGAACTAACATATCAAAATGTCAAACTAATACAGCATTTTTCTTTGATCTCCTTTTTTGTTAAAATGAATTATTGATAGCCTTTTCCGTGGCTGACAGGAGAGATGTCTGATTTTTATTTGCGTACTAGATCAAATCTCCTATTCCTTCTGTAGACAGAGATCTTTACAACAATATCTAGATATGAAATGCGCAACTGCAGAGCTCGGATTTTTTCTAGCAGGGAATGTTCTCCCCACCCATCCTGTGCTGCTGTGATTTCTTAAGCTGATATTTTCATTGGACGTCTTTAAGCAAATGCAGAGCCCACCCTGGAGCCAGCGGTCAGGGCGAGGGTGAGGTGGCTTTGTGTGGGCCCACAGACCACAGCAGTGGGTGTGCAGCTCCACAGAGGCATCTGGAGCTGGTTCCCCAGGATCTGTGGAGAAAAACCTGTTTGTCTTTTCAGCGATGAGGCTTGGAGAAGGTGTTTTCCAGAGTGAGGTTAGGTGAATGCTTTGTTTCGGGGAGATGGGGTTTTGGTGG